TTTCACCGCTTTCTGTAACTAATAATTCCAGAAAGCGAACTTCTAACGCAATTTTTTAAATTCCGAAACGATCTGCAGAATTGTTTTGGTACCCTTAACAAAGCCATGTCAGTCGAGATTCGAATTATCCGGTCTGACAGCAGAGAATTGGTTAGTCGTCCAAATTTTTCACGCGGATTTCAACCAAGAAATAGTTTTTTGTTTGGAATACACCCACATCAGTTTGTTTGGAATTGAGGCCGTTTTCTAATAATAATAATCACTTTTCAGAAAATCGTCTATAGGGGTTTCAATTGACTAAAAAAAGTCATCATATAACTAAATCGAGGATAACATGCTCAAGAAAAGTTCCGACCTATTGAAGAAAAAATTCAAAGCCACGGAAGATATTTTAAAATTCGGAAAATGCGTTCCAATTGTTTGTTGGAATTTCCTATTTTTTTCTTGCAAAAAAAATATTAAAAAAGGTGAACACTTGCATAAGTTGCTTAACAAATTTTGACGTAGCAATGAAACTCTTAAAAAATAACTTGAGGGTTCGGCCTTTATTTTGTCTAATTTTGTATTTAATGTGGTATGAAAAAGAAAAAAAATTAATATCAGTTTTTTTGACACTGAGACAACTTTTTCGATTTTTTCTACTTCTTTAACCCCTTACCGGCTTTCCATCTAGTAGTTTAATTTGGCAGCAAAAAATCTCATAAAATTATTATTATTCTTAATTCCTTGAAAGTAGTCGCATTCAATAATTACTCTGTTTTCTCTCTCTTGGAAAACTAATTCTACTGAAAAGGCAAACATAACCTGCACAAATGATCACCCATTCTTTTCTATTTGTTTTACTCTGGATTGCATTGTAACTAAAAGCAATATAAGAACAAGGATAGACGGTTTCTGTGCAAGTAGCACAGTGTTTCCGACCATAGTTTTTGGAAACAGTTACAGTAATTTGAAAGAATATATATTATAATTTTTTATTCCTGCAAATAAGTACAGTTTTTGCTGATAAAAAAGTGGCGTGATAAAATATCAAAAAAACAAAAATTTAAAAATACTGACAGTCATAATTAAATGGGCCAAGCAGAAAACTTTGTTTGTTAAAAATGGCAAAAAACCAAAAAAAAATCGTAAAAAACCATTTTGAAAACTTTCAAGTTTTTTTTACTATTTTTTATAGAAGTTTTTTTTGATTTTTGAAGTTGTTTATTAGCAAAATGGCCAAAAATTTTTCCGGAAACTAATTTTGTTCCACTAAAACTAAGCTTTCATGGCTTATTTGTAAGACTGTACGCTCAATTTGTTAGCTCGAAATTAGACCAAAAATCTAAAATTCCAAACCGGCTTTTCTAGATACTGAGAAATTGTTTTACAAAATTTTCAATATCATTCGAATCACGACTGAAAGGGCTTCAATGTGATATATTACTTGAACCAATTCGATGTCTGTTTGTGCTATCCAATTTTTCGTGGAAAACAAAAATGTCAAAAGCTAAATTATTCCCGAATACAAAGTTCTTTTCAAATGGTCGGAACAAGATTTGGGGTTGCTGAGCAAGTAGGAAAAAAACAACTCGACCATATTGATTTAAAAACATAATTCAATGCTTTTTTTCTCTAAAACCAAACAAAATTCAATTCTGATCATCTAGTCGAATATAGGCTCAAATCTCGAAATTTCTCAGATCCGTTTTTCCACCAGAGAAAAATTTTGTGATTTTTTGATATAAAAACCCGAATATTGGCTGAATGGCCTACCAGCTATTTTTAATTAGCAAACAACGATAATCCTGGGCCAGAGTTGTTTTCTAAATTTCGAGTTGGTGGGAGATTTAGCTAGTTACTGCTCAAGTGCCACGAAAAACTCTGTTATAAGATGAACTTAATGAAAATCAATGAAATTTTTTTTATAAAAAAACTCAACCGTCACCCGTTTTTCTCAGCTTGGAATAATTTTATTTTATTATATATTATTTTTTCAAGCTTGTGTATTCTGATAGTGAAATGTAGAGGTCTTTAAGGTTGTATCCAGTTTCACAAAGGTTGTTCAAAACAAATTAAATAGCTTGCCGCGAAAATATCTCACTTCAAAAATTTTCAAAATTCATTTTTTATTCTTCCAAAATTTTAGAGATTTCTTTGTCATTTTTTGATAAAAGAGATTACAATTGTTTTAGTAAAAACAGCGGACTTTTACGTCGCAACTGTTTTGCGATTTTTTCAGAAGTTTAAAGTTTTCTTTGTTCCAACTCCATGATAATTTGCAAATCGAGCAAATTTTTTCAAAATCAAAAAACCAAAATTTTAGAGAATTTTTGTAGGCCGGGATAATTTAATTTCTGGGCGCTCCCTAACTCTAATAAAAAATCATATTTTAAAAATTTTCTGCGCGCTAAGCAAACTTTTGTTACATCAGTTCAAAAAAGCTGTTTTTAGTCAGCTAATATTTTTCATCATATCAGTGAAGAGAGGCGGGCAGTGTTTAGTCAACTCTAGACTTTTGGATGACAATAAATTCTACTTTGTCCAGGGTCGGCTCAAACATTTTCTCGAGGAGCGAGTTTTCAAAAATAAATCGTTATTTTTGTCCACTGTTTCTTAGGTAATCCCAAAAGATTTTTTGAGTTTTCCTGAGCAATATAAATTTTAGTAAAACTTAGTGCGCCGCTTCTTGGACACCATTTTTGCTTTTTGGACACTTTTTTGAAAATCGACGTTGAAAAAATCGTATTTTTTGGCGCACTTCCCCTCAAAATTTGTATCTAATTGCACTAAAGGCGTCTCTAGAAGTTATTTATAATTAATTATTTATAATGTGTTAGTTGACTGAAAATGGATGTCAAGAAAAAAAAACTGAGCTGAGGTCAGGGGCGGATCTAGGATTTTTTCGAGGGGGGGGGGGGCGGATTTTCTAAAAATTTTCGAAAATTTTGTCGACCTTTTTTTTAGGTTGAGCGAAGTGATTTCCGAGCTCTCCCAAAGCACTTAAAAAACCCTGTTTTGGTAAAATTGTCTGCGCCACAGGCAAAATTTTAAAAAAAAACAGGACAAAAAGGGCGTTTTTAGGCACTTTTTGGAAAGTTTTGACCAAAAAAATCGCGTTTTTTTGGCGCTAAAATAGAAAAATTTTAGGGTCCGTCATCAAATATGGATATCTCAAAATAGTACAAAGGTTGACCCTTTGGGTCGGCAAGGGGTAGAATTGTTATTTGTGTAGAAAAGCTAGCCAGGGTATCTATTAAACTTTAGCTGTTAATGTTTTAAAAATACTTATTAAGTGTCAGAACTCTCGATAATTACCCAGAATCGATCGAATCCTTGTTTTTTCCCGCAATTTTCTGTTTCTTTTTTCTACTTTCGTTTATTTATTTAATACGAAGCTCTTTTAACAACATGTATTTCATATGAAACTATTTCTTTTGATGAAAAGAAATTCAAGTATTTGACCCCTTTTTTCCTAAATAAATTTCACTTGACCTAATGTTGTCTTTTGTACTTTTTCGCCTATCATAAAACCCTTTTCATCTTGTTTACTACATATTCCTTCAAAGTCAAAGTCTTTAACAGTTAACCCAAAAATTCAGCCTCGGGCTGATTATTGACTTTTCAAGGGGGTATTTAACGGTTAGTGTTAGCATTAGGGGTGAGGGGGATTTTTACACCTCGAATGTTGTAACTGACAGGTTGATTTAATCCCCCCAAATGCATGTAGCTCATTAAAATTCGGGCGCTAAAAGGGGCGAAAAGCTGGCTTAATCGTTAGAAACAATATTGATTTAGAGTTAAAGCATAAAATCAACTGAAATCTCTAAAGTCTTCACACTTTTTTTCTTTTTTCAGCGCCGCGGAGAATATTTTCAATTAATATTGTGAAACTCAATACTTATAACCAACGGCCAAGATTAGGCACCCTTATATTTGTTCGGCGGGCGAAAATCGGACCTAATCCCCCCTTTTCAATTGACACCTATCCTTTCTTCTGTTGGATTTGGGGGAGGTATTACAGTACAACAAATAAAAATTTATTGTCTTTTTACGCTGAAATGTAGAACAGTAACAAAAGAGAAACGAATTTATCGGACTGAAATTGTCACTTCAATATACACTTGAAATGGAAATTCATCGAAAAAGTCATAGAATTTAATTGACAACTGGATAATTGAATAACTAATAGTTGAAAGATTTATTGATTCGGCAATCAAATTAAAAAAATATATTGCTGAAAGCTACGAAAAATGAAGGTTTTTGTTAATTGAGCTCTCAAGTATCACAACTATCTGAAAAAGTTATTTGCTACAATTTTTTAAATTGTAGTTGTATAGCTTTTCTTAAAATGTAAAAAGATGTATAATAATACATGGTCTACTGAATGATGGCCCATTCAAAAAAACATCAAATCTTATTTCAAATCTTTCCTCGCCGCCATAAAGCAAAATACTAGAAGCTTTTATTTTCAATTTTGGCTGCCAATTGTGGTTACTTTTGATACTGTTTTACTATGGCTGAGTATTTGAAATGGCTGAGCCAAATAATATTCGAAAATTCACCCTTTTCTGTTAAATCTGTGCAGGGGCGGATCTAGGATTTTCTCGAGGAGGGGGGATTTTCTAAACTTTTTGGAAAATTTTGTCGACCTTTTCTAAAGTCGACCAAAATGATTTTCCGAGCTCTGCTAAATCTTTATAAAAACCCGGTTTTGACTAAAATTCCTGAAATCCCTTAAAAAACAGGTTGAAAATTTACTGTGATAAGCATCCCGCTCTTAAAAGGAAAACACTTGAGAGGGAACACAATTAACAAGCCACGTTTGAAAACGCTGTGAAAAAAACCAAAGCTTGTCGTCGGAACATTTTCTTTTATTCCAGGTTGCCGAAATCTGGGATCTTATTCTGGATTTAATCAATAAATCATTACTTAGTTTCAGGTGTGCACGTGAACAATTTTGCATTTAGCAGTGGCCAAAACGATTAAGCTTAAAATACATGTGGTCAAAATGGTATAAAATGTGCACCATACAATCTCTGCATTTAAAATTCAACTTTGTTTACTTTTTAGTCTGCTTTAGAATTGCTTAAATACGTTATGATTTTTACTCAGTTTGATACAATAGCCATCCCATGAAAGCGTCATAACTTAGTTTAAAACCTACTTTGAACAAAAAATTATGTAGAAACGAAAATGCACTTGAAGATGGCTTGATCTAAATGTCATCAAAAATATTTCATTAAATCTGAAACCGAAGCTTTAATTATATTTGCCTCAATCGTGCCTTTGTATTTTTTTGAAGTTAGTCAAAAATGACAACGACTTTTATCACTGCAAACTCGAATACCTTGTTGGCTTCTGAAACCGCAAAATCAAGTCGAAAGGTTAACATAGCCGACCGACCAGATGACGACAACGACGAATCACGACCTCAGACTCGGTTCAAAACTCCCGGAATCCCCTATGACCAATGGGACGATTGCTGCTTACGGCAATTATTCGACCCTGCTTATATTGACCATCTACCTGTTAAAGAGCAATTGAAGTACTATAAGCATCGGAACATGGCGAAATCGAAGTTGTACAATATGGCTAGAAGGGTATGGGGCGATCGACACTTGGGTCCAAGGTCAGTTTTTGATTATATGCAGTGAATTGAACTTGAATAAATTCTCAATCATCAAGAAAAGAAGTTCATTGCTATGTACATAACTCAGAAGATTCTGACCAAATCCACCATTGAAAAAAAAAACCTTGTTTTTTTTTAGCTAAATGTGTTGAGCCTTTTTCTGCATTTTTTTTTTAAATGCGAGTGAAGAGTGGCTTGTGTAAGGCTGTTTTTTGATTCACACACGAAAAGAAAAACGATCAAAAGTTAACCTTCGTGGGAAAAATAGGAGCCGGTACAGGAAAATGTCCAGAAATGTTTTCTAAATTTTAATCAATTCGAAAAAAGCTTCAAAACTATTTTTTCGGGTTCAAAAAAAAATAACCGCCGGACGCAAATCGACAACAATTTTGTCACCGCAACAGCTCTTAATACTGAATTAGGGAACCCAATTACGCTTCAGCGATTAGATTGCGATGTATTTTAATCATTGCAATTATATAAGCTACATTTTTGTCTTAGGTGAATTTTAGGACCAAAAAAATTATCAATGTTTAAATACACGCTTTCAGTAACTTCAGTAAGGAAACCGCAGACCTTCAATTTTAGCTGAAACCAGTTTTTCAAGCTAACAAAACTTGCGAAAGTTGCATTGGAATGTAGTACTAAACAATCAATGATTCTCATATGTCTTATTATCTAAAGTTTTCCGCTGTTCTTTTCTCTGATCATGACTAACATGACAATAGCACAGAGTCTTGGTTGTTTTCTATTTAAGACTGAAAGCGGGTATATCTTAATGTGTCTACGTTTACTTGTCAAAAAGTCAATTATCACAACATCCAATTTTTTTTTACGCATGAGCGCGCAATGCCACCAAAACTCCTATAAGTTTCAACAACCTTACCCATGGACCACATGCTTCGTGGAGTAAATTGTTCGAGGATCATTACAAGTTCAATTTTTTTTTCAGGGTTTCCTCTCTTTGGTTCCTTTTGTTTTGTTTGATTAAGGTCGGAGCATAATCTTTCAGAAGTCATACAATCACATACAATCAGTTTTTGGAGTTGTTTATCAATAACTACAAGTTTTAACATTGATTCAATCTAAAACAGAAAAATTTTTAAGAATGAGCCTCCAAAAGGTAAACTTTCGCATAAAAAAGATATCAATGTTTCAATGCAGGCTTTCAGTAACATCACTGAGGAAACCGCAGGTTTCCCGTAATAATTTAAACCAGTAATTTGAAGCTATTAAGAAAAGATAAAATTGCATTGGATTGTATTACTAATCAATCAATGATTCTCAACTTGTCCCATTTTCTTAAGTTTTTTGCGGATTCTCAGATCGTGACTAACATGAAACTAGCTCAATAGATTCGTTGGTTTCTATTTAGGACTGAAAGCACGTATTTCTTAAGTTGTCTTCCAAAAGTAAACTATTACATCAATTCAAATGGTGGGCCTTGTAAATGTTTCTAAAGCTGTTTTGATTACGCATGAGCGCGCAATGCCATCAGGACCCCTAAACTTTTCAACAACCTTACCCAGGGGCCATATGCCTCGTTGAGTAAAGTCTTCGAGGATCCAAACGAGTTGATTTTTTTTGAATGGTTTGCTCTCTTTGGTTCCGATTGTTATATTTGATTAAAGTTGGAGCGTATTTTTTCAGAAGTCACTCCAGAGACTGTCTAGTCGATCCGTGGTTGGTTTTCAGGATTGGTTGCTGAATTTCTTTGTATTTGTTTGGTTGTAGATTGAAGCTGCGGGAGTGTAAATGAATGCTTTCCCAAATTGTAATGGGTGAGGTATAAGTGGTAATGTGTCATTAACGTCGCAACTTACATGGGTCAGTGCACTTCAGTTGATATGGCTTTGCATTCTACTACTGTACTTGAAAACAGATCCCTAGACAGTCTAACTGGTGTTAATTTCCTTAAATAGACTCGTTTGATGATCAAAACGAGACATTCCCACACCCCATCGATATGAGGAGCAGATAGTGGATTAAGACGCCAGTCAATTGACCTCTGTTGAAGCTTGGTAGCTATTTTGACTTTGTTGATATTTAAGGGTATTTTGCTTACATGCGGCGACAAAATTTGTTGCGTTACTCGAAAGAATTATTTGAGGAGAACCATGTCGAGCCATTAATCTACGAATTGCTATCAAAGTAATTCTAGTTGTCATTTTGTCAGTATTTACCTTGTCGTTGCACGCATTGTTAGAAAAGTAGTTTTTGTCTGTGGTATCTTTTTCATCAGGTAGAATGGACCGCTGTAGTCCAGCCCAAAGTTCTGGAATGGATATGGAAAATGTTCCGAAACGTCGTAGCTCTCTACTGGTAGATCAGCCGTAAACCTTTCCCTACAAAGTGGCGGCACAAGAAGCAGTGGTGGTGAATTAGTCTCAAGGCGTTTCTGAGACCGAAAGTTAAGAAGTTTTGTTACGAACTGCTCCTTTTTATGATGTGTATTTTCGATCATAAGTTGAGTCGAAGTTTTCTTTGGGTTTTAGAAACTGACAGATTTTTGGTTAATTCTGATCGCACAGTACATTTTTTGCTTTTCAGGAGTGTTGACTCATGCATTTACCGTCGTAATATCCCTCCATAAATGAATGGCGTTGAATTTTAATCGAGTTTCTTTGGTTGTAAACTTGCAGACATGCACCAAATACAGCAGCTTGCAATTCGAGCTTAGGTATGCTTTCTTGGCTAAGTGGTGTAATCTTGGTTCTTCCAATTATAAATGAGGCCATTATTTGGGCTTGATTCAAAATTCCGATGTATATGCAATGAAAACACGTAGTTTTATATTGCTGTGTCTGCCGATTTGGCCTATCAACCTTGATATTTTTTCAGTTTTACTTTATCCACATTGTCGGCTCCACTTTTCAAAAATCGGGATGTATTCTCGAGGATTGTCTTGATCCCAACTTATACCAAGCCACCAAAGCTTTTGAAGCAGTATTTCAAGAGTTATGACAAATGGTGCTACCAATCCCAGTTGATCAAAAACTCTGGTCACAGTAGACAGAAGTTTACGTTGGGATGTTTCTTCAGCAGTTAAATTGTTTTTCAGTTCTGGCTGAATGATGAGTCTGTCATTCATTGTATCCCACTTTGCTCCCAAAACCCGATGATTTGTACTCCCAATTTCATTTTTGGGTTCTTTGAGGAAAACAAGAATGTCTGTAGTACTCGATTTAAACTTGGTTCAATTGAATCCTTCTTTATGAGGAGCCAACTTCAAGGCTTTAGTTGATTGCTGAGCTTCCAGTAGATTGTCATTGGAATGAACGGAGTCATCCAGGTACAAGCTGATATGAATAGTGCTGTAAGTTGGGTTCTGTTTGTAAAATCCGATGGCTGTTAGATTTAGTGAAAAGATGGTTATTGAGGGCGATCAATTAGCTCCGAAGATTAGAAGCGTATGCTGATTGATCGAACTCTTTTATGCCCATATGCATAAACATGCCTGCTATTTCACCAGAAACTGCTATTGATTTCAATCTAAACTTCATTCGCAAGCCAAACATGTTGTTCAGTAGATATGGTCCCGTCTCTAAACAGGAACTAGGAGAAATGTTTTTGATTTTCGATGCAGCTTTTGTTACACGTCGAGTTTTACCAGATTTCTTGGGGTTTATAACTGGATGGTGCGGTGGATACCATATTCGTAATAGTGGCAGATGTAGGAAAGTTACGGGTATCACGATGTAAAATTGAGTTACTTATTTCAAAATCAGTTGATAATGGTTTGTCGTAGAGTAGCATTGTGAGTTTGTCCTTTTGTAGTCATCGTTGCAGAGATTTAGGTTGTGCTTTAGCAACAACGTAGTTTTTTGGCATCGTTAGTTTGTTCCTGCAAAGCAAGTTGCTTCGGTAGAGAGTTCCGTCATATTGAATCCTTTGTTTCATAAACTCTAATTGCTAAGTATGTTTGCTTGAAATAGATCCTTTAGTTACGTCAGAAGTTGTGCCAGATTCTTCTACATTCCAAAATGAGGTAAGACATCTAAGTTCTTGCAAGCCCTAGAGTTGATGTTAGGACAATCCGTGAGATACTTAACTGTAGCCTAGTCCATCTCATTAGGTACGCAGTACTCGTCCTTACTGAACAAGCCTGCTGGAGGCGATCTAGCCTGCGATCTAACCGGGTAAGGAAACTCGAGTTCAGATGGGATATGTAGTTGTTTAGATCAAAATTATGCGCCAGCTCACGTAGAAAAGCAGCAAATCTGCGATTTTTTGAGGTTCAATAACATGCAGTCGGGCAACGTTTTCCAGCTCCCTAGCAAAAGCTGCAACAACAATTTTACGGTTGTCACATCTGCCAACTAATTCGTCCTTTGCTTGAGTACACTGCGAAGATTTGGTACCGTAGCTCTCCACAATATTACTGTAATTTTTTCTGAAGCAAGGTTTCTTTTGTTTTCACTGCCATTTACAAATAAAACAGACAACGATATCAAAAACTTCCAAATTGCCATTTCAAAAAACATGTAAGTTTTCGTCTGTTTCATTCGTCTGAAAAAAATTGGTTTTGATCGATTTGCTCATTTTGAACTTATTAAAAATAGCAGAAAAAATTGCTTGCTGGTGGATAAGTTTAGCTTTCATTATGAAAGTACTGTGATTTCGAATGTGAAATTATCAACAACTATGAAATCTAAATTAGAAAAAGTACAAGGAAACAATTTCATTCATTAAAACGTTAGTGCTTTTGTGAAAAAACGCAGTAATGTTTTTTTTCTTCGAAAAAAATTTTTTCCAAGTTTTTCCTAGCGGCTACAAAATTAGTCAGGCAACCATTACGAGGCCAAACTGTGCACTGGATAGGCGCAAAATTTTTTGTCTGTACGTTCTTGGATTCCATAGACAAAACTTTAAACATGTTCCAAATTGTAAATGGATTCCACTTACAAAACTTCTGTGGATTCCGCGTACATATACCTGAAATGAAAATTTGTCGGCACATTTGTTGTGCCGCGGATTCTGCAACAAGCGAAAATCGCTAG